AATAGAAGAGAAGAGATCAGTGTTTTCCATCAAGAAATGAATTGGTCAACTCGTGCTTCTTTATTTGTTTATTTTGTTTTGGCAAATATAATTTAATCAACACTCTAATTTTATAATCAAAATCTACCACGGCACCAAGACAAAACAAGAAAAGTGAAAACAACTGTTTCTATGTCATTACATGAATAATTTATTCTTTTATAGTTCAAAATTATTTATACACTTAAATAATGGGAAAAATAAACTAAAAATAGAAATCTGAAAACATTATCGCAAGTTCGCAACTAACAGTCTAACACTACAAAAAAAAAGAAAAAAAATTCTAGCAAATTTTTCTATTTTACGATTACAATACTTCCCTTTCTACATTTTTTCATCATTAATATGAAATAAATTAAGTTATCGGATATATGATTTGTGATATGTTTACTTAAGTATATGTACTTCTTTTAAGATCGATGTAAGTAGTTGTATATGGTCACCAAAATATACAATGTATGTTCAAGAAATTAATATTATTCTATGCTAACCACTTACATATGAGACAATAACAAAGATCAGCAGCTTTGCACGAACAAAAAAAAAAAGACAAAGATCAGCAGCCTTTCAAAAATGCACAAAAAAATTAATGCTTAAATGTATTTGATCATTACAATTTATTTCAGTGAAATTTGATTATTTCTTTGATTTATTTTTTACTCTCAATAATTAGGTTTAGAGATTTCTTAGTTTTTTTTTATATTAAAAAAAAAAAAGATACGCAGTTGACAAAAAGGGTACAACACAGCATTTTGGCGTTTTGTTTTTGTCTTTACACAATTAGTACTTTAGTAATTTGATACACATCACTAGCTTTGTTTTTGTTATTAGCATTATTTTCCCTTATTTTAACATGTGCTTTTCCTGAAATCATCAACAATTATTCCAGTATCCGACATCTATGAAAACTGAATAAATATACAAGATCATTAAAATATTCAAATAATTAACTGACTCGGTTTTAAAGCAAGATCCATAGTACTTTTGAATTTTTATGTACATCATTATACTATATAACTTAAATCTATGTTTTATTTGTATGAGTCACCTAACTGAAATTTAATAAACACAGTTAACTAATTTAATAGAATAGTAGAAATCACAAGTCCAAACATATTTGTCAAAGGCAATGGACGACCCTTGAGCAATAGATAAAACTATGTCGTCGTGATTTTTTTTTTTCACTAGACAAAAAGATAAATACACGGCGTATTAGTTAGAGTTACGTTTAAGTATAAATGAAAAAATTATATCACTAATTCAAAGATACACAAGCGTCGTTGCCGAAAAAATTAAAAATTAAATTAAATTTTTTAATTAGTATGTTGACGAAAAAAACTTTGATTAGTATGAAATAATCATAAGTCACCTATTACAAGTGTGACCTACTTAAATTAATTTCACTTTGTGGAGTATTTTTTAATACAGTACTATCACTTTGGCATGTGCCCACTCTAATTTTTTAATACAGTACTATCATTATATTCAAATGTCTATGTGGTAAATATTCAGTCTTAAATATCTAGTCATGATGCTAAAACTTAAAAGAAGAAGAGGAAAAACTAACCTCTAGATGATGAGTAATCGTGTCTCCGAGTACGTATTGTAAGTAAGGAAGAGGTAATCCGCATCCCGAGGACTAAAAGCTATACCAACACACATACGTATATGCGTATACAAATTTTCTGCTTAAATTAAGCTTTAAACCTCAGGATGCAGATTACCCGATCCTCACCAATACTCATCATCGTCACCCCTCATGATGCAAGTTCTTGCGTGAGCATGGTTTATGTATCGTTCTTCACTTCTTCTTCTAATTTTATTGGGTGAGAAGTCAGTAGGGAAATGTGAGAATTTATAAGCCTCTAGAGGTTAAATAGTATCGAGAAGATGCTTATTCGAAAGGTTTAATGCTATGAGAACATATGCTCTAGTGAAAAACACAAAATCGTGGTGTTCATGTTTTATCATGTGTATTGGTATGTCTTAGCTTTATTTTTGTTTACTATGATCGTACTAGATAAATCTTTAGAGCTATATCTATGTGTAGGATTGATGTGATGTCGAATCTGTACTGCAAATTTTTATGGTATTGATTAATGAAATAGTTAAATCTAATTGTTGCATGAATTTATGAGATTAAAACGTAAATTATCCGGGGATGCATCCGGGGATGCATGAATTTACATGGTGAATATGTTAGAGCATCTACAACGGCTGAAAATGTAAGAGTTTTTCAAAAAACAAAAAATAATAATATTTTAATTTTATAATTATATTTTAATTTTTTAATACAGATAAACACTAACAAAGTTACATCTGTCATCTTCGTTTCTACTACCGACTCTTAAATAAGAGTTTTAAGAACTTCTCTCTCATCTCTTTAATAACTTTTAATTATTATTATTTTTTTTAATCGTAAAAGCTTCTATTAAGAAGCGCACGTTGGACGTGCCCTTATCAGTTAGCTTACATTATTCGTTATGTGTTATTTTAGGTTTCCTCTTGTTGCGACATGAGATTCCTAACAAAACTAATCAAGAAATCTAAGCAATTTCTTTAAAAAAACAAAAAAAAAAAGAAAAAAGAAAAAAGAAATCTCAGCAATTGAATGCCCCAAAACTGTGCTTGCATGGACCTGAACCCATACTAGCTAGTTATCGAGTTACTACTGTTTTGTATCTATTGTTTTTCTGTCGACCAAACCACCAATCTAAACAAACCACTAATTACAACCACTTCATTCTCAATTTTTTTTTGGCGCTGCACTAATATTAAGTGATAACGGCAAACGTAGTGACTGTGAAACTTCACAACATAACAAAAGGATTATTTGTTCTCTATGAACCAATGATGGTAACTTAGGATTATGCTTTTTAACAGACAAATAATATTCGACTTCTTTTGACTGCCTTTTCTTGCTTATTCTTATTGTGCCTTGTATGCCAATGAGATCTTCCCTCGGATTATTATTTATTCTCCTCACAATTAGTGATTTATTAGTTTGTTAGTACATATATAGGGAAACCATTTTTGTTTTTTAAGTAAAATTTATAGGGAAAGCCTGCTTAACTTCTTAGGAAAATGTATTGTTTGTCATTCCATGAGATGCATCATAATATCAACAACAAATATAACAGTTCAAAGGTTGAAATTTCCGATTTTTTTTGTAAATAGAATAAAGTTACCTGCTGTCGGCATCCAAAGAAAAATAGTAGGCTAATCATGAGAAAGGGTTATGAGAATAAATTCTATAATTAATGATCTATTTCTGTAATTAATTTCTCTAACTACAAAAGCAACATTTGCTTGTTTTGCTCTCACGGGATCTTCAAAAGCCGAGAGCTTTACATTTGTGTGATACTCAAATCAAACCAAACTAGATCATGACCCGTGCTATACAGCACGGGATTTAATATTTTTCATGAATTAAATTGTATATTTTGTTCGAAGAAATAAGAAATAATATAGTATAATAGTATAATATAAAAAGGAATATATAATAATATTTTATATTTATTACTATTTAGATATAATGTTATATATTTTATTTGACTAAAGAAGGAGAAAATATTGTATTTTAGAGTTTAATATATTTAGCAGCATTAGATTTGTATTTTTTATATGAGATTAACAATTTCTTTGGTTCAATTAGGTATTGATAATTTTATTGTGTGATTGTGAACAAACAAAAAAAATAGTTGTATTGGGTCTAAGTTTTTTAATAGATTATATTGGGTTTGTGGGCCCAGTTTTATGGTTTTAAAAAAAGGAAAAAAACGGTTTAACATACCTTTGGAATTTGCTAATTTGTTCGTTTTTGATGTCTACTTGAATTTTGTTACCCTGTAATTAAAATAAGATGACTTAAAACTTACGACTCATATATTACAAAGAGAATTGTATAAAATTTCAATGGTACTTACAGCCTCATCTGTCAAAATCATTTCCAAAGACATGCCAGAACTTTTTGTAAAATAAATCCACGAATGAAGTATACTAACTTGAATACACCAAAAAGTCTTGACAGGCTTCAAGTTGTTAAGAGGAGTGTAGCGACTTACCATAGCTATTTCTGCTGTATTTTTAATTGTAGGATATGAGAATGGTGCTGAGATGATTTCTGTGAGAAAGGTACGTCAAACCTAAATGGATATTTATAGTTGTAGATTGTTTGTGATAATTAGGAGATTCAGAAATATATTAATTAGTATAAAATAGTTAGATAATATTTTAAAAAGGTATATTCTAGTTTATTTCGAATATAGGATCAAAATTATCTAACAGAGAGATTTGACAATCTTTAGAAAAGATTTTAAGGAAACTGTATAGCTGATTATATTGATGCGTGATTAAGCTAAACAAAAAACGTAAAACTAAACAAAAAAAAACGATCTAGAATATAACAACTATTATAACTTATTTTTTTTTATAAAGGGTTTTAAGGAAACTGAATATATTCTCAAAGATTTTAGGGAAACTGAATATATTCTCAAAGATTACGAATTGCTTGAATACGAATTTATATCTAAAGAAAATATAACAACCTAATATCTTTAAGATCTTTAAACCCGTTTTTCGTTATTTGACCCGTTTTTTAATTAATTTGTTAATGTTAGTGACA